TGTTCTTGTCAGACTCGTCTCGTTTGCTCTCTGGTGTTCCAGTGTTTCGAGGTCTCTAGTGTTTTTGCATTTCTCAGTTTAGATATTTTGATTTTTGGTTTTTGACTCCCTTCCCTCTTGGATTACTCCAAAATAAAAGATTTTATTTTCATCATCCACCTCCTGCCTCGTTCATCTGGTTCTCTGCATCTTGGGTCCTAAACTCCCTCCTGCCCAACAAGTGACAGCATGAAGAAAAAACTAAATAAACAAATGCAACCAGATCTGATACAGTAAAATAAATTAGTTTAATATATAAACCTGTTTATTGCACATTTCACCACAATTTAAGAAAAATAAATCAAGTATTTTTTCTTATATTCCTGCACATACTTGCATTTAAAATGACTAACTTTTGCAGTGTTGAAACTTAGAGTAAATTCAAGTGAAATACAACTAAAATAACAAAAAAAAAAAAAAATAAATAAAACACTATTCCATTAACAGTTTTTTAGAAGTTGGTGAAGTGGAACTTATAGTAATGACATAACCAAAACAGAAAATTCTGTTTCATGCTACATTTAGACCTAGTCTCATTTTCAATTATGTTTTCACTTTATGACTTATGACTATCAAGCAAAGACCTGTAAATGTAACTGACTCCAAAACAGTTAAAGCAATGTTTTTTTAATATAAAAACCTGTTTTCTGCACATTCCACTGTCTCTTTCTGCATATTCTTCCATATAAAATAATGTAAAACATTTTTGTGGCATTTACACTCACCTTTTAAAGCAAATCCAACTAAAACATTGCCAAAAATGATATAAATAAATAAAATTCAAGTTTCTTCCATACAGTATTTTTTAGAAGTTGCTGAAGTGTAAAGAGGATGAGTAATACTAACTCTACTACAAAAAAATTTAAAACTTCTGTTCCATGCTACATTTAGACCCAGTCTAAAATTATGACTAGCCTAAAATTTACCAGACGTTTTGTTTTCTTTTGGAGTGAAGCAGTGGTTGTATCGCATCAGCAGAAGCCTCTCAAACCTTCTATCAGATAGTCGGTTTCTTTTCGGGGAAAGCACCAATCCACCTAAGCTAAACAGCCTTTCCACTGGCGCACTGGATGGAGTTGGAGCGTTGTACTTCATGTAAATCTTTTTGACATTTGGAAACTGATTCAGTGCACAGTGAGGCATGATGGATCCATGTTATCATTCTGTTTACGGCAAATTCTGACTCGACCGTTTGAATGTCTCAACAGAAATCGAGACTCATCAGACCAGGCAACATTTTTCCAGTCTTCAACTGTCCAATTTTGGTGAGCTTGTGCAAATTGTAGCCTCTTTTTCCTATTTGTAGTGGAGATGAGTGGTACCCGGTGGGGTCTTCTGCTGTTGTAGCCAATCTGCCTCAAGGTTGTGTGTGTTGTGGCTTCACAAATGCTTAGCTGCATTCTTCGGTTGTAACGAGAGGTTATTTCAGTCAAAGTTGCTTTTCTAACACCATTCTTTGTAAACCCTAGAAATGGTTGTGTGTGAAAATCCCAGTAATCAAACAGATTGTGAAATACGCAGACTGGCCCGTCTGGCACCAACAACCATGCCACGCTCAAAATTGCTTAAATCACCTTTCTTTCCCATTTTGACCTTCAGTTTGGAGTTCAGGAGATTGTCTTGACTAGGACCACACCCCTAAATGCATTGAAGCACCTGTCATGTGATTGGTTGATTAGATAATTGCATTAAGGATAAGTTGAACAGCTGCTCCTAGTAATCATTTAGGTGTGTGTGTGTAAATACTCTGTAAATCTAAAAAAAAATAAATAAATAAAAAACTTGGGGCTTTTTACTGTTGTGGGTCTTATGAATGCAACATGCTTTAGACAAATAATATTCTGTGAAAAGAAGAAAGCTTTACTTTTATGGTTCTTGAGGTCATGAATGTGCTTCTGCTCAGAGTGAAACAGTGATCAAAGGAAAGAAACAATTATCATACAAATAAATAAATGATTACCTTTGTTTTTGCTCTTCCCCCCTATTTGTAGATTTTCTTTCTCTCTTTCTTTCTTGCAGATGCCTATAGACATGTTAGCATATGAATATGTATGCTAATGAAATTGCCCGGGAGCTAAAGTTCTGCTTTATTCCACAGAATTGGACTTGCTATCCTGGTGTTGCAGACATGAGTGGATGTGGCCCATGAGGCCACCTCCACCCATATTACCTTTAAAAAGGACTTGGACAATGGTCTCCCTGATGTTGCTGCCCCTCTGTGGTCTCACCACCAGCTTGCTGTCTCTCTCTGTGACCCTATGCCTTGGTAGCTCTGTCTGTTGTGGGGCATAAAAGGTTGAATATTGTTCTTTACGGTGCTCGCATTAGAAACAAAATGCCAGTGATGTTTTACTGCCTGCAGTAAGTTTGGTAAACAAAAACAAATAAATAAAGCAAGACTTCCAGAAGTTTAGCAAATGTGTAGGAGGGTGAAGAAAAATGCAAATCCTTTGCAAAGGTTCCTGTGCCCAGCAACACTCTCCTGCATTTTAATGTGATCACTTGGAAAAGGCAAAGTTCAACAGTGTTTTCAATCATTTTAGTGGCTTCTACTTCTAGTTTGTATTTGGGTGACTAGTTTTCCTTTATGCCCATGATACCCAAGGTCATGAATGTGAAATAGACTCAGTTTTCTGTCTTTCACAGCCTTCACGGTAGGAAAATTATCATTTCATGTGGGAATTATACATCAAAACATAGGAATTCTGGTCTTCTTTAAAATATAGTTTTTCATTTTATCTAGGCATTTAGTTCAGAGTAAAGAAAGTGGAATGCAATCTCCAAAAAGCTTCCACAAGACCAATCATAACCCTCCCACTGTCTTTATGGGTGACCCAGTGAGGAAAGTTGACCATTGAGCAGGATGGATGGTTTATCCCTTGAGGTCCATGTGGCAGGGGTGAGGTGATGCTCACTCCTCACCCCTGCCACATGGACCTCAAAGGATAAACCATCAACCCTGCTCAATGGTAAACTTTCCTCGCAGGGTCACACCCATTAGGACAGTGGGAGGGTTAAACCATTTGCTTTGTGAAACCTGATAAAAACCTGAAGTAAACAAGCAAATGTCTTTTTCTACTTGATGGTTTTCATTCTGTTGGACACGTTCATCTCTGGGTATTACCTTTTATTCCTACTTCAGGTTCTATGGGACCCAGTTCGTATGGCTGCATCGGCATTTGTGGCAGCATGTTAATATTACATCAAACATTAAAATAAAAGAATGAACATACAGTCTCCTGCTCTATCTTGAAAGGGAGGAGAGACTTAGTGAGGCACCTGAACAGGGAGAAATCCTAAATTACTTCCCCTGGGACGTTGTCGTTTTAAGTCTCAACCTTTGATTGACCCTACCTTGAGTTTTTATGTCATTCCTGTTTTGAGGCTAATTAATTGTGGCATCTGTATAAAAATATAAATTCACACCTTTTCATCTAAAATGTTTTCTTTGATTCTTTTGGTCCTATGTACATATTTTTTCATAGGTATTTTTATTCTATTGGTATTTTCAGAATTCATTTTTTTTGGGTAATTTTCTTCTCCTTATCTTTGAGTATACAAGAAACAGTGGTTTAAAGTTATTTTAAGTGAACACATGAGCACTGTTTTGTGTTAAGCTTAGATAATTTCCCCATCTAGTGGACAAATGCCAATGCACACCCATGCAAACAACAATAATAACTAGCCCGGTGTAGCTGCAGAACCAGAGGCTTGTGCTGCTCCTGCAGCAGGGAGGTGAACAGTCTCTGCTTAGGCAGCTGCCCCTGCGACCCGATCCCAAAAAAGCGGAAGAGAATGGGTGAATGGATAGCAGCAGTAATAATAATGAAAGTGACTTGTGTTCAACATATTTGTTATTTTACTAAAATAATGTCAATTAAAAATAATCAACTTTTCAATATTGCCTTAACACGACCACATTTAACCTTTCCACTTTCCTATCAGGTGACCCTGCCAGGACAGGGAGTGGCTAAAGCGAAGCACCCCTAAAAAATATTAAAATAAAAAATAAAAATACACCAGAGGTCCATCTGACCCCATGAACCCTTTGATGCATGATGGTCACTACAGTGGACATGTACCCAAAATTGTTATTTATTTATTTTTGCTATTAAGCACAGCTGTTGACGACTTTATTGCATTTGAGCCCCTCCATTTGGACTTCAGTAAGTCAAGCCAACATATTTCATGTTCAGAATGCACACTGTCCATTGAGGTGGCTATGTAATAAATTATTTGCAAATTATTAAATGTCACAAAAAATGTTTGTTGAAGTTTGTTTCATTCACACCTAAAGATGAATGAAAAAAATGTGTAAAAAAATTCATTGTCTGAAGATTTCATAATTCATGCATCAAAGGGTTATGCGGGAGGGTTAAATAGTTAACGGCCTGTATTTGATATAGCGCCTCTAGAGTCCTGGAACCCCCTAAGGCGCTTTACAACACAATCAATCATCCACACACACATTCACAGCCTTGTGGTGATGAGCTACATTGTAGCCACAGCTGCCCTGGGGCGCACTGACAGAGGCGAGTTTGCTGAACACTGGCCCCTCTGAACACCACCAGCAGGCATGTTGGGTTAAGTGTCTTGCCCAAGGACACGATGACGGCAACAGTCTGAGTCATTTATCTAAACAAAATTCACGTTGGATTGTTGAACACATTTTATTTTTGTATTTTATTTTTTTGCAGTTTTTCCTTAAATCTATAATCGTCACCTTACTACAACTTTCACTGATGTGCAGCTTAACCCACACACACAAATAAACACACCCACACACATGCGCGCGCACACACACACACACACACACACACACACACACACAGTGAGGACAGCATATCTTTTCTGTTGCCCGTTACTTATGACGTGCCACAGTGACTGTTTTATTTTTTTCAGTCTGGTTGGTCTGTCAGATTTTGGCATCTTATAAATGCTCTCTTTGACTTCTGCCTGATGCTTGAGCCCATTTATTCCTCTCTGGTAAAAATCTGTGAAAGCAACTGCTGTTCACTTTCACACTCAGACGAGACATTCTAAGCTCTGAAGAAACATACAGGTTAGTATCACCGATTCTTAATGAAACTTCCCAGGGTTTCACTCCTTCTATTGACTAATTCTGTTCTTCCCATTTGACAGAGATGAAGTTTCTGATACTGTTGGCAATTTTAAGTGGTAAGGAACTTTTTTCTTCACTAAGTTGAAATAATTGGACATATTTTAAAAACAGAGCTGAGTATGGAGATATTTATCATAGAAACAGTTTTCAAAAGACATTTCTAAAGTTCTTGGTTTATTTGGTTTATACAAACAAACATTATATATTGTAATAAATGACGTTTGCACTATGACTGTATACTTTTCTTTGTTCCTTTGTGATGTTGACATCTGATTTTTGTTTTCAGGGGTGTTTTCTGCCCCTTTTGTGAAAGAAGAAGCAGCAAAAAGATTCATCAGGTTGAAGAGACAGGCAGGACACTGGGATCCACACAGCCCTCAGAACCAGTGGGGATTTACCCTTCAGGAACAGGTAGCATGCTGTTGTGTTCATAAACAAATAAATAAAATGCAAGTATAACCTTTTCAGATGGAAAATAGTAACGATGCATGTTATTTCCAGGCTAATGAACAGTGGACAGCTCTTCGATCAGGTGCTCAGTACTACATGGACATGGGTAACCTGATGTTTGACCGCTCCGTGGCTGAGTGAGTGACAGAAATCTGATCTACTGAGGCTAAAAATGTATGTCTTCAGAACTAAAGTCCTCCAGCACAAATCCTAAGTGATGCATAAAGTTCCCTAGCGCTACCGCAGATCATTCATTCCAGCAGCAGTTAGGCTTTATGACACATGATGTCATAAGCCACCAAGCCTCTTTAACTGTATTATCACAACTCTATACATAATACACCTATTATATGCGTGTTTGTGTCCTTACAAGTTCATGCAATATGACTTCCATGTTGTTTCACAATCCCTATCTATAATGTAGTGGAAATCCACATTTTATATCCTCAGATTAACTTTGTTTGGATTCATACAAAGAAGAACATAACTATTTTCACAAAGTTTTTCCTCTCACATTTATCAGAAGAAAAACAAAAAGGGGAATTTGAGACTGACCTACAGTTTCAGCATTCTGGTTGCCCTCTACGACTCTCTCCCAGGATCGTAAATTGCACCAATCTGACTGGCCCCCCTTCTGCGCCAATCAGGAGGCGCAAGAAATATCAGAAACCAGCCTGTTTTACATCAACTCTCAAACTGACCCTTTTCTCAAGATGGGGAAATCGTAAAGCTTCCCTTAATGTCCTCCTGGGAGCTTCATCACTTGAGTCTTTATAAACCTTGCATTCCTGTTTATCTACAATCAAAGAAGGTCTTTAGGTTGTTTACCCTTCAAGGTGCTCTAAGTTTAAAATCTTATCAGTCACAAACCTAAACTGTTTGTTTTGTGTTTTCTTTTATGTTAAACCTTCTGTCAATGTATGTTTCTCCAGTTAAAATTCATGCTAATGGTAAAACTGTCTAGTTTTAAGACATAAATTTAGTTCTTCTCTGTTTAAAGTAATACTTTGACCCGCATCTGGAACAACTTTGGAAAATTGTAATCATAAATCTGTCATTGTTGGAAAGGCAGAGGTTATGTGAAAGAGCCACAGTGCCATCACGTGGGTAAGGAGTGAAATACATGTGGGTGTGACAAAAAAGAAAGTTTATAAAACCAGAAGTTCAGACTTCATGGTAGCAGAACAAAAAAGAAAGATATGTTAAGCGAACCTCTGCTGGCTTTTCCATCTGGGCCCAGCAAAAGATAATCGACGCTCATTAAAGTTGCTCTCAAAAGTTAGAGTAAACTCAGAGTTCCGTTTTGTTTTGTTTTGACTCTCTACGTGAAACCCGAAGTCCGGTCAAGTCATCGCATTAAGAGTTAAACCCAATTTGGAACAGTTTCTCTGATTCGATCTCATTTGGATAATTCGGACTCGCGATTTGAATTCCACGTTTGGTGCAGCTGGAGGAACCAAAAGGTCAAGCCATGATCGAGGAGGGCCACTTACTCCCTTCCATGACCGACGTTGACCGACCAGAGAGCCAGCACCATTTAATCCAAAAAGGTCTCGGCATGAGCCAAGACCCCAGGCTGTTGCAGCCGCTGGCTACCCTTCCGGCGACGGAAAGCAGGTCTGTGAAAACATTTCCAACTGGCTGATCTTTTCTGCTATAAGCCGATTCGTGAATTCAGATTATTACATTTCCTTTATGGTGGGTTTTATTTTGATCCAAAATTCACGTTTAGCTCTGAAGATTTATCCTCTTTTCTCTGCTACCACGCACACACACACACGCCAACTCTCGTTGCATCCACTCAACCACCTGAACACACACACCCTCTTGCATTCCTACACACACACACACACACACACACACACACACACACACACACACACACACACACACACACACACACACACACACACACACACACACACACACACACACCTTACACTCTCACTTTGCTCCCTTTAGAAATTATTCCCCATTTTCCTATGATCTTGGTGTCACCCAATTTCCACTTTATTACAGATCAGTATTTCATATCACTGCCATAAAGCTTTGGGTTAACAATTGTCTTAATTCCATGCATGAAACAATAAGCTGTGTTTGGTACTTTCTGTCCATGCCTTAACTGATGTTTGTAATAAACTCACAAAACGTAAATAACACCTGATCATTGTCTAACAATTCTCAAGAATAATCGGCGCATTATGTCAAGAATTTATCCTTTAGATTAATTTGTGGTGTTAACTCTGAGACTGATTACATTGCAAAGATATAGATATTAAATCCAATGGTCCAGTTCTGAAAACTGGTGGTGCCCACATAAATTAATATAAGATTATAAACAAGCTAAATCTAGGCCACATTTGAAATATAGATATAAATATATATTTATCGCTACAATAATGCCTATTGTGTAGTGTAGAATAGAATAGAATAGAATAGAATAGAATAGAATAGATCACACACTGGAGAAATTCACTTGCTACAGCAGCACATACACTTAGAGAAGAGGAAAAAGAAAAATAGCAAGATTACAAGTAAACAAACAAAGGTGGTAATCTGTTATTGTAACGTCAACCACTAAAAACAATGAATAAAAAGAATAGCTGTGTTTTCAGAACCATGCAGCATAAAGGACACATACATACTAATGTGCATACGATATTGCACAAGTGTTGAACACATAATGAGTATTGCATTCATGCTATTGTGTAACAGGATAATGCCAGTACCAGTTAAACTGAGGAGTAATACACTCTTACAGCAGAGGGGACCTATGGTAGGGTTCTGTTTACATCTGGGATGTCTCAGTCTGAAGGAGCTGTCCATGGTCTCCACAGTGGAATGCAGTGGGTGGATGGGGTTTTCCAAGATGGAGGTCATCATATTCACACATCTCCAGTTGGCAACCCTGAACCAAGCTAACTTTTTTAACTTGCTTGTGCAGTCTCTTTCTGTCTCTGTGTGTATGCCTACATAAGAACTACTTTTGTATATAGTGCCTTGTCTTATTAGTATTTTTGGCCATGTTTGTACTCCGCTGCTGTCTGCCCTGAGCTGTGGCAACTTACAAATTTCTGCACAGTGGAAGCAAACAGATTTTTTTTATTGTTCAGCCCTGGAAGTTAAAGAATTTTTTAATTTGTGTCCTAAAACTTTTCTAATTTATTTGTTTATTAATTTCTTTTGCCCAGCTCTGTAAAGCAAAGAAAACATGTGTGTGTGTGTGTGTGTGTGTGTGTGTGTGTGTGTGTGTGTGTGTGTGTGTGTGTGTGTGTGTGTGTGTGTGTGTGTGTGTGTGTGTGTGTGTGTGTGTGTGTGTGTGTGTGCTCAGCCCTGGGAAGCAATGAAAAAAGTATTTTTTCTCGTACCATTTTCTAAGTTTTTCTCAGTCCTGGAACGCAAGAAAACATGTTTTTCTCTTCTAGCAATTTTCTAAGTTTTTTTTCTATTTTTCTCACTCACTCAACCCTTAAAGGCAAAAGAATAAATGGCATTATGCCCTACAGAGTTTGGGCTGTTCTCTGTAGACTGGCCGAGTTCTGACTCCTGTGGTCTGATTTTAAACAATTGTAAACGGCTTTTGAATCTCTGAAACCACACCAGAATTAAAAATTAGGCTCATTTCTAACTGTGTGACTTCATTAATGAATATTTAATGTCTACTTTCTTACCTAAAAACATCTCAAAACGTCTTTTAGATCCAAGTTATGATAAAATGAACAGCTTCTTCATTTCTTAACTGCTTTTCACTGTAACACACACTAGTGGACAGAAACGGTATTGCAAAACTATGTACTGTTGAAAATTTACAAGCAAAAAAACATATTTTTTCTTTTGCGTTTGAGAAAAAAACTTGGAAATAAGCTAGGAAGCACAAACGTTTTCTTTGCCACAAGAAAACATAATTTTTTTCCATTTGCCTCTCTGAGCCGAGATAAATAAATAAATTAATTAATTTTGGAAAATGCCACAAGAAAAAATATTTTTCTCCATTGCTTTTCAAGGCATCCATTAAAGTATCATGATAATAAGGCTAAATGTTCCTCTGCGGACTTCATTAAAGTTGATTTTGATATAAAAAGTATAAAATGATTTTTAAAAATATGTATTATTGTCTCTTGCAGTGAAAACTACAGGATGTACATGGAGATGCTGCGCAACATGCAAGCGCACCTGGACAGCCAGACTCGTCAACACAGGTAGACGAGAGGGGAGAGTCAAGATAAATGACCTCATGATGTGAACTTAGACAAGAGCTTGCTAATAATAAAAAAAAACATGTATCTTCCTGTAGTTTGTAAAATTTACCTCCCTTTATATGCTGGTGATACTTGTAACTTTGCATTTAATTTCTTGTCTCCTTTATGCACCTTTTAGAAAACTCCCAATAAACACGTTTTACAATGTTTAAGTGAGGCTGCAGCTTCACCAACAAAATACCTGTCCATTATGTAAGGTGTGTCAAAGAAAATATTTTGTCACATTTTATTAAATAAATAAAATTCCTTTTCTAAATAACTTTTTTCCTAACTTAGAATGACAATAATTCTTTTCGTTATTATAATAAATACATTCTGGAACCATTCTTGAAGGTCCTTGTTATAATTAAGAACCTTGTTTAACATTTTACGTGCATTTTCCTAGGTCCAGTAATATTTGCTTGTGGAGGATTAAACATCCTTTTAAGCTGAACCAAAGGGTATTGTGATGTGATGCAGATTCTTTTCAATTTTCCTCACTAGTACTTTTATTTTCTTATTAATGAGTAAAAAACTGTAAGATGCTTTATTGCAATGTGTCTGCCTGATTGAGGCGATTTATAACTACCAAACAAAGGGACTTTAAAACTGGCATTATCAACAGCTAAACCTTTATTCTTTAAACTCAACTTTATTAATGTAATAAAGTACTAAACAGTTCAAAACTGCACCTTTGGGAGCAATTTGTCCTAAAGTTTTCATAAATTTCTCTATACATAGTGAAAAAATAATCAAACATCTTTGCCCTCAGAGACATTGTGACACAACAAAACGGTGCTGAACAATAAAAACAATAAAGAAAATCAGATAAGTCAGATCTGATGGGTTACAAAACCTCATTCATTCAATATATAACATCTTCTAGTGTTTTACACACACATTTGTGGTGAAAGTGAGTGTTTATTTGATTAAATGTAAGAGTCAGAATATCATAGCAGCATTAAGCTGCAGCTGACAGGAAATCCAGTTCATGAAACAAGATAAATACCAATCAGGAAGTGAGTTACTTGATAAATCTGTTTAATCAAAATGCTTTTTGTGTATTAATATTTTTACATAATCTATACTGAGTTGTTATGAACTTTAAAGGAAAGGATGAGCTGTCCTGAATGTCATTTTAAATCTGATTGACCTTAACTCATATAATCTTATTTAGCTACAAAAATATGCATATTTTAATCATTGTAAATTGTAGTTTTTGCTCATGCTGGTTACATAGTGCATAATACAAAAAATACCTTTTAGTGATTTCTTCTTTCTGAGTTGTAGCATTTTCTTTATTTCCTTTAGGCCCTGATCTGAGATACCGAAGTGGCTGTTTTATTAAAGCTTCTTTCCAGAGTTTTCCCCTTTCAGAAATGATGTAGGATTTTTCTTAAATCCGTAAAAGTGATTGTCTCATCATGTACTGTGATAAAATGTAAGCAATACGTCTTTGTTTTTTGTTTTTTTGCTAACCACGCCCTCTGCCCCGCAGAGCTCTGTGCAATAGGAAACTGAGCGTCGACCAGAACTAACCAATAGCGTTAGACTACCGCTTCCTTGCTTCAAATGTAAGGATAACCTCGGCTGATGCAGAGTTGATGAACTTTTCACAGACAAGTAAGTCTCTAAAATATAAATATATGAGAATACAGTATGACATGAGAATAATACTCGTAAAACAACGTGTTTTAGCTCAGTTTGTCGGCTACAGAAGCACATTTATAAACAGAAACGTGGTCGCCATCTTAAACAAACTGCTTGTCAGCCATTAGATGGTGTCATCGGATAAGAGAAATCTTCTGGAAAGAAGCTTTAACCTACAAAGAGAACCTAAGTTATTGTAACTGGTGTGAAGGTGCTTCCTCGGTTGGAGTTGGAGGAGGGACTTTCATGAACATCTGCAGGGCTGGAGTGAAGATAAGGACGGTGCCCAGAATGGAAACAGTAAGAAAAGCCCACAGGAAGATCCGGTCTAATACCTGGGCCACAAACTTCCAGTCCTGGACCACCTGAAGGAAGCAGACAAGCAGGACATCTAATGAGAGGAAAACTTATAAACATCAAAACACCTTTAAAAAACACACACCTCTCGAATGAAGTGTTCTTTCCGGATGTGTCTGCTGATGTAGCGTACTGAGTAGATGGCTTTCTCCAGCATGGTGGCCCAAGCTTCTTCCTCCTTCCCCTCAGAAGCTATCTGTCCATAAGCACAGCTGGTTGCCCTCTGGCCCCCCCTTCGACCTCCAGAACGAGGCTTCAGCTCAGGACTTTCTGGAGCTAGCTCTGGATAGTGGTACCGGTCGGTGTGTCCACGCATGCAAAGCATTCTGGGAAGTTTCTGAAGAAATAGGTTTCGAACCCACGGAGACATAGGGTGGTAAGTGGCTGAAGATCTGTGGTGCACGTTGATGACAAAGACAGTGACGATGATGGAGAGGGTGACAAAGATCATGATGAAGAGCAGGTATTCTCCAATGAGAGGGATCACCTTGGAGGAGGAGGGAATAATTTCCTCGATGACCAAAAGAAACACAGTTAGAGACACCAGGACAGACGTGGATAGGGACAGCTTCTCTCCTTCATCTGATGGGAGGTAGAAGACCAGGACAGTCAGGAACGACAAACCCAGACAGGGGATGATGAGGAAGAGTGTGTAGAACAATGGCAATCTCTTCAGGATGAAGGAGTAGGTGATAAAAGGGTAGGAATACAGGCCATCCTTCCGGTTTCCTTTGACACCAGTTGCACTGAGTATCTCCCACTCCCCATTATCGAAGAAGTCTTTCCGGTCAACGTGGTTGTCCATGAGAACCAGGTCCACCATGTTCCCATCATAAGTCCAAGATCCAAACTTCATAGAGCAGTTCTGGCGGTCGAAGGGAAAAAAGGTGACATCCATGGTGCAGGCAGATTTGTAACTGGCTGGGGGTGTCCAGGTGATGGCGCCGTTGTACTTCACAATGGCTTTAGTCATCAGGGAGCCTTCAAACCGCCCATCAGCACTGAGGAGATGGAGTCAAAAACAAGAAACGGTCTCATCAGTGGTTAAATAACACATACTCCACATATCTCTGGTGGCACAGCTAAGATGATGATGGGAATTAGAGCTCCTGGTGCATCCCCCTCCTGTCTTGTGTCCCTTCCAACCGCCAGTAGACCTCACAAGCAATCTGAAGGTCACTGTAGTAAGTCAACAATCAGGTTCCTGTTGCCAAGGTAACAGCATACCTGATTGTATGTGATTAATAGGGTCTGATGACCTGATGAAATGAAATATTGCGTCCAGGCTCATAAGTCCCTCAACCTCACTCACTTTGTTTTGTACCACTTTTTTTGCACCATCTTGGAGTAAAAAGGCAGAGATTATAGCACCCCCTAGTGGTCAGTGTTGTATGCACTTTGTACATCATGGTCCACCAAAAACTCAAGTCCTCGAGGGATTCCATCCAGCAAATGTGAGCGGTATTTTTGCTCCAACACATCTGGTTTGAATAAATGAGTAACAGGTATCACCAGAACTCAGCAATGTCATTCCATTCAGGTGAGCTGCAGCAAGAAAAAAAATGCAGGTTAGTAGCCCTCGAGAACTGAAGTTAGCGAGCTCAGACAACAAGACCGACAAACAGGTGAATCAATTTTGAAGTCGACAAGACAGAAAGGAACTTATATCCAAGTGAATTAACTGCAAAACTAAACATGATTTTTCACTTTCTCGAACAGATTTGAAAAAACATACCAGATGAGTTTCAAACTTAAGAAATTTTCCCTTCTAGTCTAAAAATATAAAAATTTGCTGTTTATGAATAAAATGTTCTATTAGACTATGAACAGGAACGATTCTTGTTTTTTTTTCTTCCAAACATCCTTAGAAAGTGAAGTTCAGTGATTATGTTCTAACTTCTCATATAGGACGATGTCTGGGAGCCAGATGTTCTCTGAAGGAACTCTGATGGAGGTGATCCCACCATATTTATCTGGATTCCATCGTAGCTTGTAATCAATCCACTCCTGGTCAAAACAGATGGGAAATGCCATCATCAATATTCCTAAAAACTACAAAACATTAAATATTTTGTCTACGTTTGAAGAAGTATAACCACATGTTTAAGGTCTATAAATGAAATGTAATTTTTTCTAAACCAAACACTAATGATCTCTGGGAAGATTTCAGCCAGTGACAAGTTAATATTTTGAGTCTTACCTGAGTCAGCCAAACATTTGTTGTCATCAGCTGGTTTTTCTCATCCTAAAAAGAAAAAGAAAACAGGAAACAGAAAAAAATATATACCATTATTTAGATTAATGAACATATTGGTAACATCAAACTTCTACACAGGTCACTCTAGACAAAATTGCTACTAATGAGACTTTAAGGGGTAATTTGATGTTAAACTACATTATTGTTGACATTTAATTAAAATGTTTGCGGAACATTTTGAACAAATATTTCACATTTTTACCAGCTTCCTAATGTAATATGTGAGCATTTAATTCAACATTTAATTCAACAACTGCACCAGTATTTACTATTTGGTTTGATGTGCAGACAAGACTCACAGATGAACAATTACAGCTTGTTTTCTTCTTCATAATAAAACACAGTTCCGCTCCATGTGCTGATGTTCTCCCTGGAGCTGTGAGCGGACTAAACTGAAACGTTACATTCATCAGACAGTTAACAGAATAAAAATGAAAGGTGTAGAGCAGCTATGTTTGTGCTTGTATCCACATCACTGGAAACAGGTTTAAAAAGACTTTGACAGATTAACGAATTGGTTTAGAGAGGTGTAACTGAGGCTGCAGCAGTTTCTCTATCCTGAGCCTCAGCTGTCAGAGGGAGTTGGATGGTTTGGTGATTACATGGGCCAGATGTGGACCATAATCTAATACCGAGCCATGCAGCAGCCCAGAGCGACTCGGGGGACAAACGGACAAGCCAAGCCGCCATGTTTACCCTTAGCTCTCGTTCCTCTTTTATCCCTTTTCATGGGTCCAAAAATGAAGAAGCCTTGTTTTATTCATTTTTCCTGGTCTCCAGGAGAGGAATGTCAAGTTCAATCCTAACTGCCAGAGATGAATATTTCAGACCAAGAAGAGAGCTTCTTCCATTAGGAGTCTCCGTTTTCTGCTCCTGAACACCTAAACCATCTGAACCCGGTCACAGACAGCTTCTGAATTATTAAAAGAACACTCCAAAGAAAGGCTGTAGCTGCAGATAAAATGTATTTCAAAACGACAGAAAGCTCCTTATTGTGTAGCTGTCAGTTTGGCTTCACAGCCACAAACATGAACAGCTTTAATGTTTTCTCCATTTAAACTCACCTGTTTATTTCACTTAGTTGAGTAAATGTTAAATGTCCTGAATTTAATCAAGAAATAAATCTGCAAGATTTTTTATTATTCACCAAATCCTTTGTGTAACTTTTAGGACATTTCATGCGCAGAAATGAAAAAGTATTCACAATAGTGTGTATTTCCTCGATGGACATCGCTGAAAACGAAAAACCGTAATTTTATTTGATCCCCCTCCGCATCCTCCCCCTCACCCCATCAGGCTGCACTCACATCACCAGAGCAGCACAGAAGGATGAAGCCAAACACATTCTCTAAATGAAGGGTTTAACATTTTGATGCAGTTTTTAATATTGTGGGAAAGTTGCAGTTTCAACCTAAAACCACAAGATGTCACTGCATCCCACAAAGCCAACCTATGAAACCGGGTCAACCACAAAGGGTTCAATGTTACGGACAAAAAAAATGCATAGATTTGAGGTCTTGGATATTTTAAAAATAAATTCACAGAAATGATTTCATATCCACTATAGGAGCGTTGTCACTTGTTGTAATTGTGTATTTAGTTTCAGTCCCATACCTCTTAGGCCACTTGATTTGATCTCTGATTATTATACTTTTTTTGAGAGCGTAGGGGGGTTGTACATGAACTCTCTCGCGTGTATTAGGCGAGTGTATGGCACTTATATACACTGGATGAGTGTGTATTTGTTTGTGTCCTCTCACCACATCAACCAGCTGAGAGATCTTTAGTCCAAAGCGAACTCTCACGGTGTCGTTGGCCCGCTGGATGGGTCTGACCCAGCGCTGATAGCCCTGGAAAAGGTTCTTCAAGAGAGCATCCTCCATTTCTGCTAAGGACACAAACTTTTCCGGACCTGAAGACGGAGGGAAGAGTGTGGGTTAACAGCTTGTAATAATAACTCATCTTCACCTGCTCAGCCTTTAAAACTAAAGATGGTTACAGATTCAGGTGTGTGCCAGTTTGATGCATCCTGAATGCTTTTGAGTAAAAATGTATCCCGCTGGCTAAAAGTAATCCAAACTGTCTGCAAAAAGGAAGTATGGTTCTGACAAAGGGTGGGTTCATGGATTACTGTGTCCAGAAACTGGGAACTCAGCCTAAGTGATCCCAGAAACAGATACCAGAACCCCATCAGGAGAGAGTGTGATGTCAGACAGACAGGATCAGGTGAGTGGCACATGCTCTTTTCACCTGTGGCTGATTTATCTCTTGCATCGTCTGACTGATGTGCAAGTGCAATGTATCTATCATGTAAAAAGTTTAAAGTGTCATCAGTTCTGTCTGTTCAGGGACAGAAGAATGAAATCTGTCTCCTGTTGTCTCTGATGAATAAACAGCATTTAACAGAAGCTGCCAGATTTCTCTTTATTCATCTGGTTTATGATGTAGACGTCTCTAACGTACTGAAAAATAAACACAACCTGCAAGTTCTGGACTTGTTTTATTTTCAAACACTTTTTATAAAGTTTAAACTAAATTTACACCGAACAGCATGACTTAATTCCATGCTGTAGTTCTTTTTTAAAACACAGAACAATTTTGTTACCTGTTTTCCCGCTACGGTAGCTTGCCATGTAAAAACAGCATGGATAAGCATTCTTCAATCAGAAACATTCATGAATGAGACTTTCTCACCAAGGAAAGCAGCGTGGGTCAGCGGACACACCATCTTGAGGAGGAGGAGAACCATCAACTTCATGGTGTTCTGATCTGAGAGGGAGCGCTTCTCCTGCTGCTGATAATCCCTGCTGAGTCCGAGGTTACCATCAACACTGCAGAGAACCGGTGTTCTCCCCCGTTCGCTTCCCAGCGGGCTGCAGCCTGTTGTAAAGGAGCTGATGCTGCCAGTGTCCGTGTGTGTGACTCCTGTCGAGGCGTTACAGGAAGCGGAGTAGAGGGGAAGGAGAGGAGGGGGAGGGGGAGGAGGAGGGATGCTCAGGTCGAGCACAGATAACGAACGTTCTGATTCGGAGCGCTGAAACTGATCAGGGGTCTGTTCAGGTCTATTTATATTTGAAATTTATCAAATTCAGTTACAAATGCTGCATTTTGACTAAGTGCCAGAAAACACCATGTCATTCAAACATGCTATTATTATTATTATTATTATTATTATTATTATTATTATTATTATTATTATTATTATTATTATGTTCTGTAATCAACTAAGTGTTTGTTTTGATCCAAATTGTCCCCCAAAAGGAAAAAGGTTAGACAAAGTCTATCAAAATTGGTTGTCTTGATAGAAAAAATCTCTCCCTGGACTAAAAAGGTTGCTGGTGGTGTACTAAATGTTGGATTACCCCCAGATTTGTTGTTAGGAATACCACAAAGTATTTTATAACAGTTCTGAACCATTTTCTAGTGATGCAGAGTGTTTCTCCAGTGATTAATCAATGGGCAGGTCTTTGAAGCAACATGATTGCAACCCATTCAACTTTGTTGTTTTCAGCAGGAGAGAAACAAAACACAAATAAACTAATTTATCATAATTTTTTGTGTATGTGACAGACATGATATCAATAAAATGATTGGTTAGGGTGCCAGCAGCTGTCAATCTGGTGTTTGGGTTAGGGTTGGTCATTTCCTGGCCAGCCGTGAGACATAATCCTTCCTTTAGGTCTCTTCCCAGCTGGACGTGCCCAGAAAACCTCACCAGGGAGGCGTCCTGGAGGAATCCTGACCAGATGTCCGAGCTACCTCAACTGGTTCCTCTTGATGTGGAGAAGCAGCGGGTCTACTCCAAGCCCCTCCTGGATGATCGAGCTTCTCACCCGATCTCCAAGGGAGAGCCCAGCCACACTGCGGAGAAAACTCATTTTAGCTGCTTGTATCCACAATCTCGTTCTTTCGGTCATTACGCAAAGCTTGTGACCATAGATGAGGGTTGTAAAATCAGCTTTAACATGACAGGCCGGTACAACGTCCGCATCACTGCAGACACAGCACCAATCCGCTCATCGATCTGGCTCTCTATCTTTCCTTCACTCGTAAACAAGACTCAGAGGTACTGAAACTCCTCCACCTCCACCAAACGGATCCCCTCCACACCTTGACTGCACCTAGAAATCCTGTCCATAAAGGTTGTGAACAGAATTGGTGCCAAAGAGCAGCCTTGGCAGAGTCCAACTCTCACTGGGAATGATCCAGACTTACTGCCAGCAATGAGGACCAATCTTTCCCTGGTCATACAGAGACCTAACAGCCCGTATCAGAGGGCCTGGTACCCCATTCTCCCAGCATGCCCCCTACAGGTCCTCCCAGGGGGCTCTCCAAGTCCACAAAACACATTTATCTTTTCTCAACATGGATAAATGTGCATTATCCTCAATTGTATGCAATCGGTTTGAGATGATCTAAAGAAAACTGAGCGCACGTCTATCATCTTAAATACATTTTTAAAAAATTATAAATATTAAAGGTGAAATAAGTAATATTCACAACCTGAATTAGGTCTGCACCTGTGCTGGTGGGATTTAGGACCTGACCAACAAAGACTCAGAGATACTTTTGTTAACCCTTATATAACCCTTTAATTTTCTAACATTTTTGTCGTTTGAGCACAAAAAAACGCACTAAGGTCATTTAAGGGTTAAAAAAAGTAAGATATAAACCACTAGTTCAGGAAAATCACCTTAAAAGGGCTTGGGAGTTCCCTCAGCTGGGCCAAAATACAGCTGCAGAAGAACAAGAATGCTGAAGCAGAGGCAGGCCGAGATGTTCAGAGGTAACATCACGAGTCACCTGTTAACCCCAACCCTGAAAGAGAGGAAAGCCTCAGACTGAGGTGACGCTGTGCAGCCTCAGCATAGAGAAAAAGAAACACTGAGAAGTGAACAGAAGGTCTGATTCTCTCTCTCACACACACGCACACACACACACACACACACACACACACACACACACACACACACACACACACACACACACACACACACACACACACACACACATCGAGACAAAGAAAGAAAAGTGGAGAGAAGAGTATGTGTGAGAAAAATAGACTTCTTTCCAAACAAACACACTGATGGTGAGATGAATGCTTTCTATATTAGCTGTGGGCAAAAACACGTTTAACAAACACGTGTGTTCAGCAACGATTCAGTATTATAGAGCTGTGATGTTTCAGTATGAAACTACATCTTTGACTGAACCAACTGAGGAAGTTGGGTAAAGGATGAGTGCATGTCTTTATAATAATGCAGACTCTAGAACTCACTCAAACATTCCTTTTATGCAGCTAATGCATGCTTGGTGGGCTTCTTAGTCCCTACACCCCCAGCAGGTCCCTGAGGTCCAGTGATCAAAGCCTACTGGTTGTGCAGCACCAGGCTAAAGACGAAAGGTGACAGATCATTTGTTGCTGTGGCCCCCAGACTCTGGACCTTCTCCACCACTCTCTCTTTATTCTGCTCTCCCCACCTATTCCACCTTCCTCAGGATCCACAAATTTCCCTATTTCCAATTATCTCTCTCTTTCTTAACATTTTTTTAATCACAATTGTCTATTTTTGCCCATTCTAAATATATTTTTAAACATTTTCTAAATGTTTTTTTATATTTTTACATTTTTTGTTTTTTGTGAAGCGCCTCGTGATTTTTATCTTGAGAGGCGCTATAGAAATGATATTTTCTTCTTCTTCTTCTAATCAGGCATAAAGCTCACATTTGTATTTTTAATCTTTCTTCTCCATCCTTCCTGTATATTTAGCACACCAAATCTGTCTCTCCTCATCCATTCTCTCTGTGCTCCTCTTTTCTTCTTCTCCATGGGTAAATGTGACATGGATAACAGGACTCTGATTATCACAATGAAATTATCCCCATTTTCTGCTCCACTTGGAGCTGTGGGGCAGGCAGCTGCTGCCGTCCCATTTGCCTCGACGCTAATCATTTGGAAACATAAATCCTTGCAGGCTGGAAACCTGCTGATCTTCTCCCAGCTGACTGTGGGAGGCATGTGTGTGTGTGTGTGTGTGTGTGTGTGTGTGTGTGTGTGTGTGTGTGTGTGTGTGTGTGTGTGTGTGTGTGTGTGTGTGTGTGTGTGTGTGTGTGTGTGTGTGTGTGTGTGTGTGTGTGTGTGGTTAATATATGGAGGACAGTGTGACTGTCAGGAATGCATTTTCTGCATCTTTGTGTTTATCAAATGTTAGAGCTTGTTTGTGTGAATGTGTTTTCCTCCCTCGCTTCAGTTTGGGGTTGTTGTTGTTGTTGTTTTCTCAGCCGTTGTCAAGCTTATAATTAAAACTTGCATAATTTGACTTGCTGCTGAAAACTTTCATCGATAAAATAAAACAAGACTGTCTCCTCCGGCCTGAGGGCTTCATCTTAATCACTGTTATTCTTAGAATATTTATTTAAAAGAAAATAGTCATTAAGTAAGAGTTAGAACAAAAAGCAGCAAAACACAGTTTTATACCTAAATAAAAAAATACAAAACCAGAGGTCTCACACAGAAACATATTTAACAACATAGCCTATAGTTTTTGTTGTCACTTTATATAAAATACTACTGATACGGATCTCAGCCAATTAGCAGTTTTCAAAGGTCTTTACAGCTCAGTTGTTTGGAAATTTATATAAATTATTTCCAAAAATTAAATGAGCAAACTAAAAAAAGACTGAATTTGGTCAAATTATCTGACAATAAATGAATGATATAAAACCAACCTCTATAGTAAGAAAAAAGCAAAGCATTTTTCATTTATTTGTGGCAATAATGGATAATAATAATAATAATGATAATAATAATAATAATAATAATAATAATAATAATAATGCACACACACACACACACACACACACACACACACACACACACACACACACACACACACACACACGCGTCTGTCTTTCTATAATGGTGAGGACCATCCATTGACTTCCATTCATGTTTGTGACTGTATTATGCCTCCCCCCCCCCCCCCCCCCCACACACACACACACATGCACGCACGCACGCACACACAGTAATTGTTTATCGACTCAGAGTTTGACACTTCAGGCTGATGCTCACACTGATTTTCCTTGTGATGTGATGAAGAAAATATATTCAGTTGTGGAGCTCAAGCTGGTTGGACACTTTCAATATTTGTCTCAATCAGACAAACACGGCAGATAAAGCGCAATTACCATGTGTAATACACGCAGTGTGGGCCAATCATGTGTGTGTGTCTCAGCTTGTATTATTCATGTTGTGGCAACACAATTGTCTCAGAAACAAGGACAGAAGGTTGTTTCAAGGTTGTTTAGATTCATGAGAAAAAAACAAGAATATATTTATTATTATTAACAAGAAGAAGAAGAAGAAGAAGAAATCATATTTGGCCAGTATTAGCATTTTAGAAAATTTAGCACTTTTAATCAACCAATTAGAAAATGTTTGGGCTTTTTGAACCATTGCTGAGCAGCACTGGATAATCCAATAGATTTGCTGGTCCGTAACTCATCCATCCATTCATCCATCCATTTTCAGCCGCTAATCCGAAGTCAGGTTGCATGGGCAGTAGCCTTAACAGGGAGGCCCAGACTTCCCAGCCACTTAGGCCAGCTCCTCTGGGAGTGTCCCAAGGCGTTCTCTAGTCAGCCAAAAGACACAATACCTCCAGCATGTCCTGGGTCTTCCTTTGGGTCTCCTCTCAGTTGAATGTGCCTGGAAAACCTCACCAAGGAGGCATCCAGGAGGCATCTTAATCAGATGCTCAAGCCATCCCTTGATGTGGAGGAGCAGCGGATCTATTCCGAGCTTCTCACCCTATCTCTAAGGGAGAGCCCGAACTCCCTGTGAAGACAACTCATTTTGGCTGCTGGTATTTGCAATCTCATTCTTTCGGTCATTACCCAAAGCTCGTGACCATAAGTGAGGGTTAGAACGTA